CTGGAGAAGGCCATGGATGCCGAGGAGAGGTGGAGGAGGGGCACACAGTACACTGCAGTGATTCGTTCAGCAGGAGGGAGCCCTCTGAAGTCAGGCTGCCAGAGCAGACAGGGATGGAAGGGGAGGCAGATGGAGAGGGCTGAGAGACAGACTGAGTCAGCAGACCCAGGGAACTCCTGGGCTAGCCCTGGGCTCTCTGGATGAACTTGAGCATGTCCCTGCCCCTCTCTGGGCCCCATTTGTAGTGAAGGCATCTAGTCTACTTGGGCCGAGCTAGATTAAAATCCCCTGGTTTATATGAGGAATCAGGGGAGCCAGAAACTGCACCAGCTACATGGAGTGAGGGCCAGGGCCACAACACTCAATTCCAAATTCTGACTGGATGCATATGTGGCAAGGGACTAGGGCCAGGAGGCAGGCTTGGGACACAAAGAAGGGGGAATTCCATAGCCTCAGTCCCCTCCCACCCCACCTAGACTATTTTTCTTTATTTCCTGGCTCCTAAGAAGACAGCTCCTGGGCTGGCCAAGACCAGGGGTCTAGACAACCACCTGGCTCAGTCATGCTCTAAGAACAGACAAAATTTAGATTCTGCCCCAGACATGTAGACATTTGATTGTGTATTAATCTATATATCCATTCATTCATTCCTTTATTCTACAAATATCTATTGAGTGCTTACAATGCTCCAGACTCTGAAGATTCAGCAATTAACACAGACAAAAAATAAATAAACAAGTAACCCCTGCTCTAAAATTAAAATAGGTGGGGTAACAATGAAACAGTTAAATGTTTGAAATGTGTACTCTGTTAGGTACATTGCTCTGGGGAAAAAAAAAAAAACTACGGATGGAGAAATCAGGGTAGGAATGCAGGAGTGGGTTGGGGACACAGAAAGGAGGTATCAGGCCTGTGTTGGCTTAGAAAGACTTATAGCAGGACAGTGTGAAAAAGACCTAGGGGGGGAAAGAGGGATGTGATAAGTAGAAATAAAAGAATGAAATGAGACAGGATGGAATGAATGAAATAAAATCAAAAGGGATGTCATAGACTAGAACCATATGGAAGTGAACAGAACTGAATAGAAATGAACACATTTAATAAAATGCAATCTAATTCAAAACTGGAATAGAATTTAATGGAAAGGAGTCAAATGGAACAGGATAGAATTGGATGCAGTAGAATTAAATGGGATGGAATGGGATGGGTAGGATGGAAAGAATGGAAAGAAGAGAACAGCTTGAACAGAACAGGGCAGGATGGGCAGACACAGGCTATGGCTGGCCTGCCCACTCTGACCTCTGACTTCCTCTCTACTTGTCCAACAGTCTTCCCCAGGGTGCTGCTGCGGACCCTGCGCCATCCCATCTTCCTTCTGGTGGTCCTGTCTCAGGTGTGCATGTCATCCACGGCGGCAGGCATGGCCACCTTCCTGCCTAAGTTCCTGGAGCGCCAGTTCTCCGTCACAGCCTCCTTCGCCAACATGCTCATTGGAGGCCTCGCCATCCCCACGGCCATTGTGGGCATCGTGGTGGGGAGCGTCCTCGTCAAGCGCCTCCACTTGGGCCCCATGCACTGTGGAGCCCTTTGCTTGCTGGGGTCATTGCTTGCTCTGGTGGTCAGCCTGCCTCTCTTCTTCCTTGGCTGCTCAACCCACCAGATTGCAGGCATCACTCCACAGCCTGGGTGAGTCGGGGGGGGTGGTGGCAGGGTGGATGGGCAGAGTGGGCAGTGGCCCTGGACAGAGGCCAGGTCAGTGGGCACCCCTGCCACATCCCCAGCTCCCCTGTGTCACCCTCTTCTGGCTTACTCCTAAGCAGCAGACATTCTCTCTGGAAGGCTCCAGTAACAGCAACAGGCACTACTAGAAGGGGCACAGATGGAACTTCAAGGGTAGGAAAGCTCAGGTCTGTGTAGGGCTGGAGGCCATGGTAGAGAAAGGCCACCTGTGAACGGCATCTCCAGAATAGCCTAGCCCTGTGTGCTCAGCTGAAGTAAGACAGAGCCCACATTGTAGGAGACGGGACCCAGCTCAGGCAGACAAAGCCTTTGCTCCCAGGCAGAGGTTAGGTCTGCCTGGAAGAG